CATGCTGCCAACATTAACTGATGATAAAATGGTTAAATAAGGAAAGCATACCTGGGCCATGAATCCTTTAATTATTCGATGGAAAAAGGATCCCTTGTAGTGCAAAGGTTTCCCAGTAGATTTTCCAATGCCCTTCTCACCTAAAATGGACAAAAGCACCATTAAGTTTAATTGATTTACAGGGTAAGCAAACACCAATAGCTTCATGCAAACAAAAAAAAATATTATATCACGGTGTCAATTTGACCATTTATTAACTTACTCCCGTCACTACCGAAAAAAAAAGCAATGCAATAATTTCTAGGTGCTAGATTCACATAAGCAACAAGGTAAAATTGCTTTTCACAAGAAGGCGGAGAATTCTTCACTATAACATCTTGAATTCCTATGGCTCCATAATTAATGGTTTTGCACATTTTTCAATCCATTTTCTTAAATTCCTTCAGCGTCCAAATTAAAGCAAAAAAAAAATCGAATATGTTACAAGGATACAGAAAAGTAGATTTTTCAAAACATGGCACATCAATATAATGTGACAACTTCTACTTTTAACCCAAAAATTGAAGCATCTGAATTTAGAAGTACCTGACTTTCTCAAATCTATCCTTAAAATTGGTCAACACTCAACAAGCAGCAAATAAGTCATTTCATGCAAACCCACATAGTTAAGCTATTTTTTAATGCATAATCAGTTAATATTGGAGTAGCATACATTTGGAGGTTTCCTCTTCTTTTGAGATGCAACCAAATCTCATTTAAGAGTTCTCAACATTAGTTAACAGAAACAACATAAAAATGTTTTAATATATGCTGCAACCCACTAGCTAAGTGCACAAATTAAGAAGAAAGAAGCTGATTTGAAGTCAGCCATATTTTAGATTGTAAAACCAACTACGAACAAAAGAACATAACAAGAAATGCAAACAGTGTGCATTTTTTATTTTCTCTGCACTAAAGTCACAAAAGCAAGGAGAATTTTCAGAAAGCTCCCCGAGAACTCAGATGAAAACAAAACTACATATTTACTATTTGATAAATCAAATAGCAGTAAATGGTAGGTCAAGATCCTAACACCATCCATAATATAAGAACCAATCACAAAATGAAACACATGAAATATGAAAGCACTTTAAATTTTATTTTCATCAATGATTGGGTCGCTTTACTATGATAGATGTTGTCAAGTGCTGAAAATAACAAATGAGAAACGATGGACTCATAGTGCCCCATACAAGACAAAAGCTAGGATTGATCATTACAATTACGTAATGATTAAAAACTGCTGATTTGGACAGCTTTGCAAATTCTATAAGGAACTTAAAAGTACCTGTACAGAGTGCTCGGAAGTTCTCTGCTGTCCTTGGAACAACATTAGCAAAAAGCTGTTCACACGAGAGGAAGATAAGAATTTTCTTAATTAATTATGAGATGCAAACTTTAAGTGCATCTAGTAAAATGGCAAAACTAAAACCTCAAGTCAAAAGCAAAATAAACAAGTAACTCGAGCCTCTAATTTTAGGAATTACCTCAATAACAATTCTTTCCACAGGATCCCCATCGATTGATATATCTAAGAAGACAACGGGGTTCTTATTCTTACTCATCCTCCTCAGTTTCAATTGCTGGTAACACCAGGAAAAAATATCATACAATATATACATAATATCAACTCAATGCAGCAAACGAAAAAAGGCACTAAAATATTTCTCTACGTTGCCCCACAACATACTTTACATATAATGCCAAGAAATACATAATCATCGATTACAAAGCGACAACATTTTATTAACAAATGCCACACAGTAAACGCTTGACAGATGCGCATTTACAACAAAAATCTGTTTAAACTAATTCAATCCGCTTCAACATCATAAACGTAGCTAAAATAACTGAACACTAAATTCTTTACGACCACTCTAAGGATTTAGTAGAGAAACGGCACAAAACCCTTAACCCTAGCTTTCATTTCCATCTGTTATTTGACGAAGGCATCTTCTTCCATACCGAAAAGATCGAATTCAAACAAAATGCAAACCAGAAATCACTTATTATAACACGATAACAGAATAATCGAACAAATCAGATTAAAACCTTCCTTCCAGCATTTTTGAGAAGCAAAAGAGAAAGAAACAAAAACCAGAGCTTCGACTACCTTGAATCACGGGGAACGGTGGTAAGTGAACTCGGCTTAAAACTCAGTTCCAATGGCGGCCGAGATAGTCATCAGTGTCTACTCTGTAAAGCACGAAGGAAAGAACTGCCTGCTCCAATTTTAAAGCTTCGTTATGGGATGGGAGGGTATTTACGTGCCTCCGATTATACTCGCTATTTTTAATTAATTTTTTTTTTTAAAAAAATGATATATTATGTTTGTTTTTTAATTTATATAATAATTTTTATAATTAATATCTTTTATTTTTTTTTTTAATTTGTATAATAATTTTTATTGAAATTTATTATGAGAAATATATTGGGCATGATATATCTAATTATTTAAGAGATTTATTTTTTGTTGTAATTTTTTCGTGCGAAGAAAATTTTAATTTTTATTGATTTTACTTATTTTAAAATTAATAATTTAAATTATTTTTAAATAAATTTACGTTTAAATTTTCATAAAATAATTTACCGTAACGTAAAAGATAAATATAAATCAAATCTTCTAAAAGAATAAATTTTCATTAATTGCATAATTTTAAAAAAATAAACATGTATTAAATTTAATTAAAAATAAAATTTTATTTGAATTTAAACTAATAAATAAAATAAATTATAATTTTTATGTTAATTTTCAAAGAATTTTCAATATCATTTGACGACGGGAGACACAGAAAATTTTTTATTCTTTTTTTTTTTTTTCTCTGAATGTCTTTCCTGGAGCAACTAGTACAAGATATTTCAATTTTGAAGTCGTAATATTATTCTTTTTTCAGGATTGCTTTGACACTGATTTGATATGAGAATGCAGCTTCTATGGTGAATCCAATATCATGTGGTAGCAATCTAAGCAGCTTATTGATGCAACAATTAACTTCATATGTGGTCATTGAGGTCGTCTTTTTTAATATTCTCTTATATTTGAAAACTAGTTCGTGGATGTTGAGATTCTTTTTGCATTTAAAGTACTTCCCACGACAGTGTCTGTTTAAATTACTTCTTTTTTTGTTTAACTCACTTGTTTTTTCTTTGCAAGTTTTGAGAATATCCCTCTTCATAGATATGAGATCCCCCCGGTTTATGAATTGAAAAGTCTGAACAATTAACTTTGTAACGGCCCCGGAAAATATTAAAAAAGAAATGAGTATTTAAATATATCGAATGCGGAAGCGAGATCAAAATTTCAGTTAACATCCCTTACACGAAAAAACCAAAAAAAAAAAAAACGTACTTAAAATATAAAAGGTTAAACTAACTAAGAAAGAAAACTCGAAAATAAACTATGCGTATGACTACAGAGTCTCTAGGCATCCCCTTCGTCGTCGTCTGCGGAACGGGCTCGGGAACCATGTCTTCCTGATCTGAAATGGTTAATTAAGGAGTGAGCTACACTAGCCCAGTAAGAACATCACGATATCTCACCGTCACGGAGATAAAGGTGGGTAGAAAACCACAAAAAGACCAATGGAGCATAATTTACAATAAACTCGTTTATTAACATGAAAACCTTTACCATCCACTTACCTCGGTGGAATTTATAAAAACAATATAAGAAAAATAATAACATTATCACAATCATGGAATAATATAAGTTGTAAAACATAGCACTTATCACGCCTTTTGTAATTCAATCATTATACAACATATCCTTTTCTCATTTACCAGCCTACTAGTATCCGTGGGGGTCCATAGGGGTTCCGCTACCCGTTAATCTTTTAACATTCATAATCAGTTTCCAGGGCCGTCCCCATACCCCGTCCGGTATGGGCGCCAAAACCATGAACCTCAATACCCCGTCCGGTATGAGGGTGAAACGGGCCGTCCCCATACCCCGTCCGGTATGGGCGCCAAAACCATAAGATCTCCATACCCCGTCCGGCATGTGAGACCACAATCCCGGTAGGGTTCCCTACGGACCCGGTCCGTCCACCATCTCCCAGGATATCTAGTCAGGCTAACCCCATCATACAATTATCAGTCTACACAATCTTTCATTTTCCTTTTCCTCAATAAGCATCATCAATTCACATACAAACAAGCAAACAGTAGTTCATGCCAAACAGACAACATACAGTATCGGTTTTTCAGTCATTCAACCCATGATTAATAAAAACGTAGTAAATGCACACAAATCTGTAAAATAAACACATCAAACCTCATTTTGCATTTAAAGCTGTAAACAGGCCAAATAACAGTAAACCACCAATCACACTAGACTCGGGCTCCATTAGCTACCTTAAGCAATTTCACACATGCATTAATTCAAGAAATACTGTTTTATCATTTTGAACTTTAATACCGTGATAGGAAATAAGGTGAGGGGTCCTTACTTGTTTTCGGGATCCGAATACGATTCACAGTGCGCCTGCAGGCTGTCCCTAATTTTCCCTGAATTTTTCCCGGGGAACTGAAACACGCTAACAGTACCTGCACGTGTTCCAAAAAAAATCCAAATTAGGCCCAGGGCCTCTTTCGGCCCAAATCGCAACTCCGGCACGGCGGCTCCGCCGTGCTCCGGCGACGGCGCCGCCGCTGGCGGCGGCGAGTCGCCTCGGGTTGACTGTTTTCGGCCGTTTTTGGCCGAATTCGGCCACACTCGCATTGGTCCTTGTCAGAAAACAACCCTAGGGCCCTCGGGGGGCCAAAAAAATCACGGAAAAGCGGAGCTTACCGGCGGCGGCGCTCTCGGGTACGGCGACTCTCCGGCGAGGTTCGTGTTTTGGTGATTTGGCTTCGGTCAACCTGTAGAGAAAAGAATGGTGATCACGGTGATATAAAAATTGCATCGAACGGAGGCCGGGAAGGGCCTCGTCGGAGGCAAAAACCGAGAGGGGGCGCGGCGGCGCCGCTGGGCTTCGGCCGCGTATTCCGGCCGTTTGGCCGGGATTTCGGCTTCGATTTGGCCATAGGAGGAATCAGTGGGGAAAAACGAGTCGGGGGTATGAAATTTACCTCGATCGGCGGTCGGAAATTTCCCCGGTGCGGCGGCGAGTGGCGGCGGGTGGCGGCGGTCGGCCTCTGGTTCGTCTTCTCCGGCGAGCGGCTGGCGGCTAGGGTTTGTGGTCTGTGTGGAGGGTACTATTTATACCCCCTGCCTT